AAGGCAGCACCCTAATTGAAAGCCTGGTGGAAGAGCTCCATTTTACAGGCCCTGTGGAACTGTAAAAGGTCCCACAGGGCCCTGATGTCATCTGGGAGCTCATTCTACCAGTAAGGGGCCGCCACAGAAAAGGCCCTGGCCCTCGTCGCAGCTAGCCTGGCTTCTTAAGGGCCTGGGAGGGCCAGGCGATTTTGGGACCCTGATCTGAGTGCTCTCTGGGGAACGTATGGGGAAAGGTGGTCCCTTAGGTAAGTAGGTTCCTGACCATATAGAGCTTTAAAGGTAAGAACCAGCACCTTGAACCAAATCCAGTATGCTATAGGCAGCCAGTGCAGTGCTTTTAGGGCAGGTTGGATGTGTTCCCGCACAGAAAGACACAACAACAGCCTTGCCACTGCATTCTGCACCAGCTGCAGCTTCCGGATTTAGGACAAGGGCAGCCCCATGTAGAGAGCATTACAGTAATCCAATCTCGAGGTTACCATTGCATGGATCACTGTTGTGAGATCACTGTGTTCAAGGAAGGGAACCAACTGCTTAATCAGCCACTTAATATAATTAGAAATGATGTGTTTGAGTCTATTAGCCCAGATTGACGTAAAAATCTTGGTGTCTTGGTTTAATAAAGAGATCAGCCTATAGGACAATGGTAAAGTCAAATCCTTATTCTCTTTGGGGATTACAATTATATTAGCCTTTGTCCAAGATTGAGGGAGTGTTCCTGAGGTCATAACCTGGTTACAAATCTTGGTTAATGGACCTGCCAAATCAGCATAAAAAAAACTTATATAGTTCTGAAGTAAGCCCATCATTGCCAGGGGCTGTATTGTTTTTTTAATGATTTGATTACCTCTACAGTTTCTTGGCGTGTGATGGGTTTATCCATAGATTCTTGATGGCTCTTAGTGAGCTTTTGCATAGTATTTTTAGAGGTTAAAAGGCTTTAATTATTTCATCTATTGAGGGGTTGCAAGTTGCATATAGTCTTTTATAGTTTTCAGCTAATATTTTTATCTCTTGGGATTTACTGTAAAGTTTTTCTGAGGGATTTGATGGATTTGCCTGTTCAATTTTTTTCTTTTACTCTCCATGCCACTATTTTTAAATTTTGTGCAGACCCTTGACAGTTTTTTGTTTTAGGTATAATAAACTGCTTTCAATCTGCGAATTTTCCAAAGATTCAAGCATCTTCTTCTATAAGCAATTTCATATAATTTTTACTGCATTTTTAATGTATTGTTTCTAAGCTATGTATTCTACTTATGATTTGGTTACTTAAGCATTTTCCCCCTTTTTTCAGGAAGGCTGTGAAGAAAAGTGTCCTCTTAAGACAGCTTTGAAGGCATCCCAGACTACCATCTCAGAGACTTCACCATTTGAATTTTCCTCAAACTATTGTTTGATTCTCTTACTAGTTTCCATGCTGAGTTCTCTGTTTAGTAGAAGGGATTTATTCAACACCCACGTGTACCCATCAGATTTTTGTTGCTTTTTCTGTAAATTGCATTCTATCCAGGCATGGCCTGTCCAAAGTTTTTTTTACCTATCTTGGCATCCTGGATTTGATTCATTACATTTGGAGATGCTAATATAATCAGTTCTTGTATGTGTCTGAAATCTCGCATAATAATGTGTAGTCTTTGATATCAGGGTTTAAATTTCACCAAACATCACAAAGATGAAATGTGTTTAAAATCCTTGCTAACTTTGTGTTGTTTTTCTAGCTGTTTTGTGTAAAAAAGTAGTTCCGAAGCATAGATCTTCATGGACCCTCCAGTATGGTGTAGTGGTTAAGTGAGCGGACTCTAATTTGGGAGAACTGGGTTTGATTCCCCACTCCTCACTCCTCCACTTGCACCTGCTGGATGACCTTGGGCAAGCCATAGTTCTGGCACAGCTGTTCTTGAAAAAGAGCTCTCTCAGCCCCACCTACCTCACAGGGTGTCTGTTGTGGGGAGGGGACGGGAAAGGAGTTTGTAAGCCACTCTGAGACACCTTTGGGTAGTGAGTAGTTCAGATCACCTTGTAGTAAAACAGTGCCTTTATGAAAGTTATTTAGTAGAAGCATTGTGTTTTCCAAGAACTGTAATTGGAGTTCATTAGGTTAATATATGGAGGCCGTTATATCTTGATTATCTAATTTGCCTTTAATAAAGATGTATCTTCCAGTGGAGTCTTGTTTTGTGTCTATTACTTTAAAGTCTAGTCTCTGTGAGATCAACACCACCACACCGCAGGCTTTAGATGAACCAGCTGCCAAAAATTGTAGTGGAAATATTTTGGTATTAAAAATTGTTTTAGTCTCTATTTTTAAGTGTGTTTCTTGTAATTACAGTATATCCGGATTCAACTTTGACATATGAGAAGACATCCTTTTAAGTTTTATTTTGTTATTATGGCCTCTTATTGTCAAACATCACCCTGCTCTGCTTGCCTCGGTTGCTGGGGGAGGGGAATTCCTTAGGTGGGAGTGAGTGTGGAGTGTGTGGCGCACTATCTTAGAGGCGTAATTCTTCCGAATAAGCCTTCCTCTCTCCCAGAGGAAAGTCCTTGAAACTTTTGGTGCCAGCTTGCTTATGTAGATGATGGGATTGTATATTTCCCAGGTGAAAGGGAGGTAGTTGCTGGAGCTAGGGGGAGTGGGTGTGACGTATGAGTGAGCCTTAGGAGGGGTTACATTTGAATTACCTATATCTATGATTGTACACACCAAATCTTTAGAACTGACACAGTACTGTTATGACCTGGACCTTGCTTATAACTCAATAAACATATCACTGCAAAAGAGAGTGTTGTTGAGAATAACTTGCCCAGGAAAAATAATTCTATATTTGTCCAGCATTCTGTAACACTTTTGTGCATTTCTTTTATCAATTATTGTGTAAATCTTAGGGGGGAGTTGGTTCTCTTCCCCCCCCCCCCAATTATTATTATACTATTTTTGTTAGGGTTTGTTTGTTATTTTATTATTTTTGTTACCTTTATTTTTCATTTTTATTATTCTTGTTATTTCCCCCTTTTATTTAATTAACTTATAGATCTAATATAATACACACTGCTATGAGCAACTGCTTTATCTTGTTGCTTAACTAACCTATAGCTGAAAGCTTGTACTAACGAAGATGCTGTGTCCTATCAGGGAAAAAAAAAAGACCAAAAAAGAAGGGGGGGGGGGAGCCCTGGCCTTATAGGCACTATTCAATTCCCTCCCAAACAAAACCAAACTATCCACACACACCCTTCCCCAAGCCCCCATTGGGAAAAACTTCTGGAAATCTAGGTCCACCTCCCTAGATTATGAGAACCCAAAGTTCCCATCCAGGAAATACTCTGCTCTGTGGAGCAACAAATCCCTTAAATCCCTTCCCCCCTTTACATAAGGAGTCAAATATTAGATTGTCACCCTCTTGTTGTATATTCAGACTTTCAGGTCTATAGTGGATTGTCTTCATCAGGTTGTCAGTTTTCCTCATGAGGTGTAGGTGGTGTATGCATTGGAATCTTGCTTCCCTAGGGGGAGATTGTAGAAAAGTGAGTTCTGTTTTATAGAATTCCCCCCTCTCCTCTTCTTGCATCAGCTCCAAGCCCAGTTCCTGCAACAAGCTGTTTCCTGTGTCTTCATCTTCTGCCAAATTTGCTTTCCCCTGATGTTAGCTTTTTGTAATAAGTTGGTTATTGGTTTCATTTATTTGCGTTTCTGGATCACTCCTGAAGCAATGTCAGGGAATATTAGGATTACACGTTTGTCAAATCTGAAGGAGCCTGCGGTTCTGGCTGCTTCCCAAGTAGTTTTTTTTACTCTAAGATCCCCAAAAGTCATTACAATATCTCTTGGGTTTTTCCTCTTTGGATTATTTAATGCTCCATGTCTGTAGGCTTTTGTGAGCACAGGAGTGGTTCCCTCTTCTAACTGCATAACTTTTGCAAGCCAGTTTGCCGTAAAAGAGATTAAACCACCAGAGCCTCCCGCTGATTCAGAAATTCCATGAAATTGCAAGTTCTGCTTTGCAAGTTGTTCTGACCTCCAAATTGTGCTCCAGTATCATCAGTTTTTCCTTACTTTGCTTTTCAAAAGCTTGTAAGGATCACACCTTGTCTTGTAGAGCTAGCCCAGTTTGTAGAGCAGTCTCAGCACTGCTTATTCTGGCACCCACAAGAAGATGCAAGGTTCAGGGGTCTTATCTCCATCCACCTTTCCTTCCTCCTCACATTTGAACCTTTAAGTCTCTATTCACATTTGCAACAGGATTTTCTGGATTAGTCAAGGGTATAAAAAGCAAAACAAAACTCAGCTTGCAAAAGATGGAATGCAAGGAAGAAGAAGAGATTGGATTTATGCCCCGCCCTTCACTACCCAAAGGAATCTCCAAGCAGTTTTTCCCTTCCCCTCCCCACAACAGACACCCTGTGAGGTAGGTGGGGTTGAGAGAGCTCTCTCAAGAACTGCCCTTGAGAGAACAGCTCTGAAAGAACTTATGACTGACCCAAGGTCATACCAGCAGCTGCACGTGGAGGACTGGGGAATGTAAGCCAGTTCTCCCAGATTAGAGTCGATGCTCTTAACCACTACACCAAACTGGCTGTCAGGAAAAGAGCTCTGCTTAGAAGCAGATGATGAGCATTTTGTGAGGGAGGGACTGTGCAGTTGAGGCACCCAGTGAAACCTTTGTGTCAATTTAGCTCAGAAAAGAAAATATTATGATGCCTTTATGGTTCAGGGCCATCACAGTATTTCCTTTTCTGAGCAAACTCAGTATTTTACAGAAGGGTCTGGTGGACTTACGTAGATCACCCGAGGTCACTGTGGAATATTAATGGCAGATCCAGGAACAGACCCTTTCCTTCCATCCCCATGTTTTAGTCTTTGTTCTATGCAAAGCCACTCTTTCGGCTCAAGGTCTGTGAGGGAAGCGCTACCACAACGGAACCCCTACCCCCTGCCCTCAAGACAGACAAGTCGAGCCAGAGATTTTTAATTTAGGTTATCTTTACTTCACAGTCTTAGCAAATCAAAAGAGAGCCTTGCATTCAAAAGAAGTGCTTCACAGCTGTCAGATAGTAATAATCTCCCCTAAAATACATACCAGTTCTTCATATAACTATTTCTTTACATCACTGCAGTTTAATTAGCAGATCTAAGAAAAAAGTCAGTGCATGAGGTGGAGAGAGACAGAGAGAGTCTAGGGAGATCAACACTTATCAGTTAGAAAGCATTTGGGAAACCAAGCTAAGGACTGCCTTAATTGCCAGGCAAACTGCATTGCTGGAATTTCAGAAAGCTCCCACTACTGTAGGAAGTTTTTGAGCTCTAGCTCTGCAACACCCCCAGGACTTGCATCCTGTGCGAACGCAAAGCTCTCATCTACATGGCTGTCATTTGATCCTGCAGCAATGGCTGCTAACCGAGATCAATGCAAATAGGGACATTCTGAACAAAGAACTTTGCATCTCCATCCCCTGGAAACTCACAAGGTCAGCAATGTTACTCAAAACAAAATCCACAGCTAAGTCAGGGAGGCAAGAATCTAGCACTGCAAAGGCATGAAGTTAAGCCATCCTGCTTTGCCATATTCTTGGCAGCTGATGCGACCTTCCACTCCCATCACCCTTGGGATGTCTCTGCAACAACAACAAGAAGCAGTTGGCATTCCCTGCTGAGTGGAACAGAGCTGCCATGTGCCCACAGCTGGAACAAATTAGAGTTGTCTCAATCAGTGCCCGAGACCCAGCATCAAAGTGACTTTGGGAGGAGCCGAAGCTTCCTGCACTGGCTCAGGAAGTTAGCAATCCAGAAAGCTGAAATTTCAAACACTTGTACTATCCCAAGTTACAAGATGTCCAGAAAGGATGGGAGAATGCGTACAAGTCAGGCTTAAATTTGATTCCTGTATAAATCAGAAGTGACACTGATGAAATTATAGCAGCTTTCGAAGTGTCTGTGCATGCAGGCAGACTCCTGACTAGAGTGCATAAACCTAAGCATGACAGGTTTCTGAGGTCTTTGGGAGCCAGATGTGTGCCCAAGGACTGCCCTCACAAACACACAAGATGGATCTTTAATATTCTCCCCATTTTCCCCTCCCCACAAGTCAGTGCAGGAAAAACAGGAACCACAGCACAGGTTTACTGGCCAACCACTTCTCATGGTTTTGCTATGTATGGCATTCACTAACATTAACGTTACAGCTAGAGGGGATCATTGTAAGGCAATCTGCTGCTTGCCTGAAGGAGAAGTGATGGCTGTTGAGCTCCATGCAGCTACAGGGAAAAGGCTCCTATACAGGATACTTGGGATAAAAACAAACACATAAATAAGTGCTTTAAACAGTCAAAAGATGTAAGCTACCTTCTTCCTTCAGACATTCGGAAGGAGTCCAGACAACCCATCTACAAAGTTCACCGTACAGGCTCAGGTGCTTTACTGGCCCAAAAGATACAGCCATCGTTTTGCTATAAAGAACAAAATACTCAAGATGTGGAAGTGGCTGGATAGAAATGTTCAAAATTAATTAATGATGCATAGAAGCCACTATGTATGCATCCTGTGGAAGAAGAGGCAGAAAATCTCAGGGTCCATAGTAGAACCAGTGTTCTAAGTACATGCCACTGGGTGTTCTTGTCAGGAGATCAGTGCATTTCCTTTTGCAATATGGCAGAGTTCATGCACTGAAGCTGATCAACAGATCAAAGAGTCAGTTTTCTTCCAAAGTTTCACCATGCAAGAGCTGATCAATGCAACAAGGTGCCAACAATCCCATTCCACTATCTGTTAGTGGATTTTCAGTTTGAAGAAGTCTTTGTCCAGGATAGGAGAAAAATCAAGAGGAGAGGAAGAACAAAATTTTTCCCTTTGTTATTCATCAGCATGGAGCACGATTCACATAGAAGGGGATAATCCAAGGAACTTTAAAATCTTTCCTGATGGCACACGTATCTACCACTGCTGCTTATGGAAGTTACATGTACAGGAGGGAAACCAGACTCTCCTTATCACTATCATATCCCTGATCAACATTTAGCCAAATGGAAATAAGGAAGCAATGAGAGGTGGCTGGTTTACTGAGTTTTCTTGTCCTCTGGTGGATAGTAAGGAGGAGGAGGAGGCTGGTCCTAAAACGAGAGAGAAAGTAGAAATCCATGTAAGAAACAACACAGCTAGAAGTAAATATTAGGGATGTGCACAATTTGGCTTATTTGTTAATAACTTTGCTTGTGTCCCATGTTTGCATTAGACAGTTTCAGTGGGATCCATCACTCCACGTTTCAGGCATATAGAAAACATCCCCACTCTAGATGCAGCAAAGGGTTCTACATTGCCTGCACCAAACATTTCCCTCCCTATCTAATGGGGATGAAATTCTCAGGGAATGTTCTTGCATTTATTTATTTATACCCCACTTTTCTCCCCAGTTGGCACTCAAAGCTGCTTAGAACATCACTCCGTCCTTCTCCATTTTTTTTTTTACAAAAACTCTGTAAGGTAGGCTAGGCTTAAAATCTGTCATGTGCCCAAGGTCACCCGGCATCCTATTCCAACACTATCTACTACTACTACCTCACACTGGCTCTTACCCTGTATCCCTCATCCAAGGAATCTACACTGTCAAACTGCTACACGGTCCCCGTACTGCCAGCCAATAAAATTCTCTCTTAAAGATCAGGTATGTGGAGAAATGAGGACAAATCTTTCCTCTGTCCTTCCATCTTGCTGTGGGTGGAAATGGGGGCCCATAGCCAAAGCTACATTCTACATAAGTAAACACACAGGGTTTTGTTTCCATTATTGTTCTTCTAACCCCTGTCAAACTTCCTGGCTTCCATTAACGATCGGGCTTGCTTGGAGAAAATTTAATTGTTTAAAAAGCAGGGCACACAGGATCACAAATGGAATGGTGCAGGCTCTATCTCCCTTCACCTGCATACTCTATTTTTGTAAACATATACTGCCAAAACTACTTTACATGTGAATACTCATAATAGGGTGTGTCCCCCTGTGGAAATGCCAATCAGGGATGATTCTGCATGGGGGAAGCAACAGGCCATTCTTCTGCATAGAGGGTACGTTACACCTTTCAGGCCTCTAGTTATTTCACTCCCCCTTCTGCTCAACACTGTTCAGCCCCAGTTGAATAAAAACACCATCATCTAATGATAGGTAACAGCATGTCCCCAAATGCTCCTAAATCTCTGATGTAATGTTGCTCACATTGGTTAGCCTTATGAGGCCCTTCCAATTGGTTACTGAGCCTGAACTTGGAAGTTCAAGAGGTTTGTTCTACCATAGGTCCTCAGATGGGCCTTGGTCAAGTCACCACGTCCCAGCCCATAAATGGAAATCAACCATTTCACAAAGTGTACAATGTTAAGTAGATTTTTTTTCTACCAAAAGTGCTACTGAACTATTTAGGCCTGATGACAGGGTAGAAAGGAAAAGAAGTCTTGCTGTTTTTGTCACTGAGATGTATTGCATGAGATTCGCTTTCTGCTTCTATTGGCACCTGGTGCATTGATTCTTCTTGCCCTCCCCTGCAATACTCACATTCATTTGGTTTGCTCACTGACAGTATCCTTCTACCATACAGGCTAACTGGTAATATAAGATCGGGTGGGATGTCTTAAAGCAGACTGGTAGATCAGAGGTCTCTTTTCATTTCTATGACAAAAATCCTTGACATACAGGAGAATGTGCAACACTTACCATGGGCATGTAGACATTGTGTGGGTTGCCTGGGCTGTAATAAGCACTTGCAGCAGCTTCTGCAGCCTTAGCTTCAACTGTATGAGAAATTAATACAGGTCAGACAGGAACAGCCATTGGGACTGCAGCACCTAATGAGACACAGACTGAACAAACACCACCACAAGTATATGGCTATGCTCCTGCAGAGTGCAGGGGGTTGGACTAGATGGCCTGCAAGGTCCCTTCCAACTCTAACATTCTATGATTCTATATCACAGTTCTGCAGTTCCCTCCACAGCTGTCTAGATCTCCTTCCCTTGTGGTAGGAAGCATTTGGTGCAAAGGCACTGACTACTCCCCAGACCACACTGGAGTCAGCTAGTCTTGAAACATTTTTGTTCCAGGAACCAAACATGTTCTTCTGCAACCAGTCTAGGAATGGATTCAAAGCTGCCCCTAAAGGCATCTGACACTAAACATGTGTTTTAACATGTGCAGTAGGAGTCTGACTCTGCATAGGACCCTCCCCCACCCAGCGGCAAACACTGAGCCATCCTGCATAGTTCTACCATTGGCTGCTCAGTACTGGACAGACCCTTTGTAGGGATCTGCTGACTCAGGAGTGGGAACCTGGACTGCCGAAGTGGCATGGTGGAGACAGATATGAACTGCTTGCTTTGTCCAATAATAAAGTGGCTGGTACCTCACTCCACATAGACTAACCACTATAGACAGACATACACAAACCAGTGTGGGTGGCTTTTTAACGTGGTAGATTTTTAATTTTTTTTAGTTAATGTTTTAAAATCTCATCTTTTTGGAAACTGGCAATTCACTCTGTTAATGAAATGCTGGGGTGTAATGTACCTGCTGACCCACATGTTATTCTATTGGGTTACTTTAAAGGACATGTAGCCCTTTCAGATGTAGGACTGCTCTTGAGCTTAATTACCACGGCTAAATTTGCAACAATAGCACAATAGAGAAATTCAGAATTTCCTTCAGAAGATGAATGGCTTCTCTGTATGTGAAATACTGTATTATTAACTAAATTAATATATCAAAAGGCCCAGAGAAAAATTTCAAGCCCCATCTCAACAGATCTCAGAAGCTTACCAGGGCTGATCCTGGAAAGTACTTGGATGGGAAATCTCCTTGAAATACCAGAGGCAGGATGGCAGGGGCAGACTTTATTCAGCCACCTCTCTGGATATCCTCCAGTTCCCCAGTAGGGAACAAATGATACCACCCAGCACAGCCCAGAGCGCATTCAAAATACTACGTGGCTCTGAGTAAAAAGGTGAAGGGATTGGGAGCGCAGGTTGTATTTTTGTCAGTTATTCCTGTCGAAGGCCGTGGTTTAGGAAGGGAAAGAAGAATACTGAAGATCAATTACTGCCTACGTAGATGGTGTCATCAGGAAAGGTTTGGATTTTTGGACCATGGCTCACGCTTTTGAGATGAAGCTCTTCTATCAGGAGATGGTTTGCACCTCACGAGGGTAGGGAAAAAGGTGTTTGGAAACAGCCTTGCAAACCTAATAAGGAGAGTTTTAAACTAAATCCTATAGGGGAGTGAGACAAAAATGCAAATATGATGCCAATAACTGGAGATAAGAACTCTAAAGTTTTGCGGGGAGTGGCATTTACTGGTTAACATTAACTCACATGTAAGTACAGAAACGAAAACCTCAGGGTGCATAAAACATGGATTCTGATGTCTCTATACTAATGCGCAGAGTATGGGAAACAAGGAGGAGGAACTTGAAGTCCTAATACAGAAGGAGACTATGACCTAATAGGCATTACTGAAACTTGATGGGATGACAGTCACAATTGGAATATGAGGACTGAGGGGTAGAACTTATTTAAAAGGGACAGACAAATAAGGAAGGGCGGAGGAGTCGCATTACATGTAAAGGAGGTATATATATTTGAGGAAATACATGAATCTGAACATGAAAGTCCAGTTGAGAGTTTCTGAGTAAAAATAAAAGGAGTAAGAAATAATAGTGATATTATGGTGGGTGTCTGGTATAGACCACCAAGCCAGGCAGAGGATTTGGATGAGACACTCCTAGAACAGATTACAAAGTTCTCAGAGAAATGGGACATGGTGGTCATGGGAGATTTCAATTATGTTGTCGAAGGCTTTCATAGCTGGAGATCATTAGCTGCTGTAGATTTCTGAGGATGCCAGTCACAGCTGCTGACAAAATGTCAGGTACTACAATGCCAAGACCACGGCCATACAGCCCGGAAAATCTACAACAACTAATAGATTTCAATTAGCTGGATATCTGTTGGAAGTCCAACTCTGCTAAAAATGAAAGATCCAATAAATTCCTGACTTGTCTTGCTGACAACTTAATTTTCCAGAAAGTGGAGAGGGAAAACAAGAGTATCTGCTATCTTGGACTTGATTCTTACCAGCAGGGAAGAACTGGTTGACGAGGTGAAAGTAGTGGGGCCCCTGGATAGTAGTGGCCATGTAATTTTGGAATTTACAGTCTTGGGGAAGGGAAAAGCTGTACGTAGTCAGACATATAGGCTGGACTACAGGAAAGCAAATTTTGACTTAAAGTTATGCTGGGTAGAATCCCATGGTCAGAAATACTTAAGGAGAAGAGAGTTCAAGAGGGATGGGAGTTCTTAAAAGCAAAATACTGAAGGTGCAACCACAAACGATTCCTATGAGAAGGAAAAATGGGAGGAGCCTAAAGAAGCCAAGGTGGCTCCATAAACAGCTTTCTAAAAACCTGAGAAATAAAAAGGACTCATTTAGAAAGTGGAAGGAGGGCCTTATGACCAAGGATGAATATAAACAAATAATCAGTGCTTGTAGAGAGAGAGTTAGGAAAGCTAAAGCTCAGTATGAGCTTAGGCTAGCGACAGATGCTAAAAAGAACAAAAAAGGGTTCTTATGTTCAAAGTAAGAAAAGAGCAAGGACATGGAAGGCCCATTGCGGGGACAAGAAAGTGAAATTGTAACAGGTGACGAAGAGAGGGCAGAACCTGCTCAATTCCTACTTTTCCTCAGTCTTCTCTTGCAAGAGAAACAGTGCTCAATATGGCAAAAACAGAACACATGATGAGGGAAGGGAGCTGCAGCCTAGGACTGCCATAGGGGTAGTACATAAACACCTAGTGTCTTTAAATGAAACTAAGTTCTCAGGGCCAGATGAACTGCATCCATTATTTTTGAGAATTCTTGGAGAACAGGTGAGATGCCAGAAGATTGAAGGTGGGAAATGTTGTCCCCATCTTCAAGAAGGGGAAAAAGGAGGATCCGGGTAACTACTGACCTGTCAGCTTGACGTCTATACCTGGGAAAGTTTTAGAACAAATAATCAAACAGACAGTCCTTGAGCATTTAGAAAGGATGGCTGTGATTATCAAAAGTCAGCAGGGGTTTCTCAAGAATAAGTCATGTCAGACTAACCTTATCTCTATTTTTGAGAAAGTTACTACCTTGCTGGATCAGGGGAATGCTGTGGACATCGTTTATCTTGATTTCAGTAAGGCTTTTGATAAGGTTCCACATAATATTCTTGTTGACAAATTGGTAAAATGTGGTTTGGATCCTATTACTGTTAGGTGGACCTGTAACTGGTTGACAGATCACACCCAAAGAGTGCTTGTTAATAGTTCCTCATCCTCTTGGAGCCGCCTCCAATAACAACTGGAAGGTATACAGCCCTGTCACTTGATTTCCACCATCTACAGCCTGTGCTTGCTGCATATACATAAATAGACCAATGAGCTGACCATCAAGACAGAACACCGAATATACCAGCATGACTGTTACCCCCATCTTAAGCAATATTACTAGTATAGATCTGTACTAGCACTTTATGATAATGAATTGCTTTAGGTTTTATGATTCTTACAATTGTTGTTTATGTGTTTTTATCTTTTATGTAAGCTGCCCTGAGCCTGCTTCGGCAGGGAGGGTGGGGTATAAGTTGAACAAACAAACAAATAAATAAAAGGGCAAATGTGATTTTGTGCTGTATCAACAGAAGTATAGTGTACAGATCATGCAATGTGGTGGTATCACTTTACTCTGCTCTGGTTAGACCTCACGTAGAGTTTTGGGCACCACAATTTAAGAAGTATATAGACAAGCTGGAACATGTCCAGAGGAGGGCAACAAAGATGGTGAGGGGTCTGGAGACCAAGTCCTATGAGGAAAGGTTGAAGGAGATGGGTATCTTTGGCCTGGAGAGGAGACGACTGAGAGGTGACAGGATAACCATCTTCAAGTACTTGAAGGGCTGTCATGTAGAGGACAGTACGGAGTTGTTTTCTGTTGCCCCGAAGGTCGGACCAGAACCAATGGGTTGAAATTAAATCAGAAGAGTCTTCAGCTTAACATCAGGAAAAACTTCCTGACAGTCAGAGCAGTTCATCAATGGAACAGGCTTTCTTCGGGAGGTGGTGGGATCTCCCTCTTTGCCATCTGACAGCAATGCTGATTCTGTGAACTTAGGCAGATCATGAGAGGGAGGGCAGGAAGGGTTGGTTCAGTGCTTAGTTCTCATGGCCCTTTCTGACACTCCCAGGGAAATGCTGATTGCCACTTTGGGGTCAGGAAGCAATTTTTCTCCAGGCCAGTTTGGTCAGGGATCCTAGAGGGTTTTTTTTGTCATCTTCTGGGCATGGAACAGTGGACACTGTGGGTGTGGAGGGGGAGGTATTTGTGAAGTTCCTGCATTGTGCAGGGGGCTGGACTAGATGACCCTTGGAGATCTCTTCCAACTCTTATGATTCTGTGATTCTATGATTCTAGGGGTCAGTCACCAGAGGTCGCCATTACTTCCAGTGCACACACACTCACACGTACATATAATTTTTTTGAAAAGTTAATTTTTTAAAAAAAGTTGTAACTTCCCCACCACAGCTGCTGTTCAGCAGTGGCCGAAGCCTTCCAATGAGAGTCTAGTTCAGCCACTGGTGATATTTAAAAAGCCCCTCCTCCCAGTTCTTCTCCTGTGCGTATTACTCAGTGTTGCCCACAAAACGAGCACCGCTATTCTATCCTCATTAGCCCTAACAAGGTCATCCCAGTGGGAAACAGAGCTCAGTCTCTGCCTGGGCCATTCATTGATGGAGCTGCTCAGTTGCCCCCCCTTTTCTTATTAAAATCCTTCTCGATAATCCCCAGACCGGAATCCTTCTGGATTAACTGCATTTGTGAAATTAGCAGTGAAGAAACAACCATTCCTTTGTCAATGCAGCAGGATAGTTCTGCTTTCAGAAAGAGATGACTAACGTGAAACCTCAACTGTACCATTTTTAGCAAATCACCCTTTGGGGAAAAACAGCACCTTGACATTATAGCCTTCCCAAACGTAAGGTTTTTAAATAAACAATGGCTAGGGCTACTTCAAATGTAACAAAGCTGATGAATGCCGAGATTTCTGAGACCCTTGCCCATCCCTATAATATTTCAGATCTTAACTCTGGGCACACTACATACCTGCTGGAGTAGAGGGAAGGCCTGGGCCTGAGGCAGGCGGTTCCATGGGCCCAGGATAGGGAGGTGGCGGAGGCTGCATGTATCCCATGGCTCCATCTACTGGGGGACCAGGATAGAACTCTGCTGCAAGGCAGAAAGACAGATTCAAATAATGTAGACACAGTTGACCAAGTCAGACCTCGCCGAAAGGGTACGTGTTCACATTTTAATACTTCTCTCTAACAGCAGAGAGTTCCGCTCCCAAGACTCACCAGGAGGTGGTGGGTAAGGATACCCCGCAGGAGGATAAGGGTGCATTCCATTGGTAGCAAGGGGTGGAAAGGTATAACCCCCATTTGGCATGTATGAGTAACCATAAGCTCCATTGGGGACCTCGCCTCTTGAAGCTGCAAAACAAAGACAAGCAAATTCTATGATAGACTCAGCTGGCATTCATATTTCAAGATCATGACAGTCAGAACTACTATATGGCTACAATTTGGATACATTTGAATTCATGGGCACTCCATGAAACTGCAGAGCGGTCGGGTTAGAACGGAGAAAAGGAAGTACTTCTTCACCCAAAGAGTGATTAACACATGGAATTCACTGCCACAGGAAGTGGTGGCGGCTACAAGCATGGACGGCTTCAAAAGGGAATTAGATAAGCATATGGAGCAGAGGTCCATCAGTGGCTATTAGCCACAAGGTATAGATAGGGGCTCTGGGGCAAGGGATGCTCTGTCTTCTTGGTGCTTGGGGGGGGGGGTCAACAGTGGGAGGGCTTCTAATGTCCTGGCCCCACTGGTAGACCTCCTGATGGCACCTGGTATTTCTGGCCACTGTGTGAGTGGCCAGAGTGTTGGACTGGATGGGCCTTTGGCCTGATCCAACATTGGCATCTCTTATGTTCTTATTCACTGCTACAATACACAAAACACAGGGTATACAGAGAGCAAGCCATGCCTTATAAACACAATGCTCTCTTCATTAGTTCAGAGCTCCTTCCAGCATGATGCTCAAAGGTGGTATTAAGGATTTGGGAATCTGGTATAGTGGGAAAGGAGGATGCCTCCTGCAATGTAATGGTTGCCAATAGGCTTGTAGAAAAATGACTTGTCCTTTTAAAAGAGGTTTATTGTATGGAAATTGACTGCTGAAGCTTTTCATGGTAGCATGTAAATAGCATTGCATGCTAAATCGCATCTCATTAAGCCTTCATTAAAGAGGCAGGACATTTTTTCCAAAGTACTTGGAAACCCTACATGTAACAGCACTGAGGCTTTAGGGGCTGAGCCCCCTATTGATTAAGGCAGAGCCCCATCGCTGGCTCTCACCACTGCCTTCCTCCACTCCCACCCCCCTGAAAAGTACTTGGCCTTGCGGGGCCTGAGCCATGCCACTGCCACACTGGCCCCCCAAAAGCCCTCCCTTCCGTTAGCAGGGTGGGAGGAGGGAGCCTGCTCCCACTAAGCTGTGGAGTCCTGTGAGCAAAAATTCTGCTTTGTGAGCTACTGGTATTAAAAGTGTGAGTGAGCAATTCGCTTACTGCATAAACTAGTTTGCTCTGGAGCCACCCTTCCTGAGCGAAGAGAAAAAGTGAGCCAGAGGCAAAAGATCTGTGAGCTAGCTCACACTAACTCAGCTTAGAGGGAACACCGCATGGCGCTACCACACCTTGCTGACTTCCTCCCCCCCCCCCCCCCCCAAGAAGTATCTGGCCTTGTGTGGCCAGCCCAAAGCAATTCCAGGAATTGCTTTGAGCCTGCACGGAGCAGGGGACTCGCTGGCCATCACCTGTTCAAAGAGCTGAGTCAAGCGGCGGGACAGCCACCTGGCTGCCTCCTTTTCGGCTCTTCTCTCCACTGGAATTTTTTCTGGCTATGGGGTTGTATTTGCTCCGGGGGTGTGTGTGTGTGAACATACAGGAACTCTATGTTTCCACCACAGACAGAAAACCCTCCCAGCACAACTTCCCTGATGTAGGCCTTTTCCCTGTGGAGAGATGTTTGTACTGAGGTCCCTGCACCTTGTCTAGTCTGGGTTAGAGCCTCACAATGAGCAGAGAACCTCCAGACCCTCATCTGAGTTTAGCTGAACTGTGCAAAAAAGCTCAAGTACCTTGAGATGCCATTTGAAGCATACGCTGTCCAAATTCAATGGCGCCTCCAGCTGAGAACGTCATTTTGAATGTTACCGATCCTTCCCAACCACCTAGAGGGGAAAAGATGAAATAATATGCAAGAGCAGAATTAACTTCTGTTATTATTATAAACAGTGTTCCCTCTAAGCTGAGCTTGTGAGAGCTAGCTGAGGAAGAGGAAGTGGTCACATGACCCCACATAACCTGCTCTTATATACAGCTCCCAGCCAAGAGATTGACTGGGTCCACAGTTGAACAGCTTCTACAATGCTGCAGCTTCAAGAGCTTCCATGCTATTCACTGGGTCCAAATCAGCTTCCTTTTAGAAAAGTGGGACAATTTCTTGATGAGAGAGACAGCTAACAACTTCTGGAAACAGCCTCTCTTTCCGGGACTGGGGAAGCAAACACTGTGCAAGTTCTTTCCAGCTGATTAAGCAGGAGGCCTGCAAGAAGAAGTGGTGCCAAAGAGCCAAGCAAGATAAGACCGCTGCCAAGATAAGGCTCTGGCTATAACTGGAGGACCTGTCTTAGATCTTCTGAGGCCTGGCTTCACTGTTTGCCTTGAGCCATTTACGGATGCTAAGTGGATGAGACCATTTGGCTGATTTCACTATAATAAATGGAATGGGGAAGATGAACTCAACTTCTGTAACATGTGGCTTCATAGTAACAGCAGGAGAGAACTAGTGGGGTGATCCCTTTCCCTTACAGTTGTGTTATTTAAAACAAAGTTGTGGGACTGTACAAAAGCCATAATGATGAACCATGGGTTTTAGCTAAGGCTTGGATTAAACACTATTACAATAGGACAAAGAAAGACAGACACAAAGGAGAGTGCAGTGACTTAACCACTGACAGTCTTATGGGGTGTTGGTTTGTCCCGTCCCCCCCCCCCAATATTGCCACTTACTACTAAAGGCATGGCAGCGAGCCAGTAATGGAAGGTCAACTCAAATGCTTTCTCGATCCCACTGTTTTTTGCAACCACAAGAGCTAGTAGTGGTTCTTTTTCATTTAACAGTAAGAGGGTGGCTGCATGTAGTCAAGCAACAGAAAACATGCTTCTTTCCCAACTTGCCTTCTTTTTTAAGGCTGAACGGAAGAAATTAAATTATCCACTCTTACCACAAACTTGGCATTATCCCATAAAATGCAGTGGCAGCAGGCTCAGCCTGGCCAAACAGAACTCGTATTTGCCACAATACAGGATTCACCCAAGCAGTTCACCAGCATAAGACGGCTCCTAGCACACTGCGTAAAGCAGTTCATTCGTATCTAGCAATTTATGCCCAGAAGCAAAAAGATTCTGGGGCCACGCAACAGAGGAGAGCTTCTGCTACTTTACCATGCTTGTCAGCTCTCCTGGGGCATCTTGCTACTGTTGGCAGTCAGCTGTCGGACTAAACAGACCTCTGATCAGACCACACTGCAGTTCTTATGGCCTTAAGGAAATTACCTGTGACGGTGGGAAACAAAACTTGTCCTCTATTCACAGGAAGCCAAGACCCTTTTGTCAACCTCCCAGTTTCTTTACAATGTGGCACGTACTTGTGATACTAAATGCATGACAATTGAATAGCTTCTGCAGGGAACATACCTCCTGCTTCTGCCTTCACTGAACCCTTGATGTAATTTGCTCCAAAAACTGGCTGTTTAATCTCACAATCTTTCATCAAATAAAAGGGCATCATGAAAGACTGCATCAGATCTTTTCCTTTAGACACAAAGATCACCTGCGGGGGAAAGAGGACACAACCGTCAAAGCATAATTAGAAAACAAAGTTACAAGTTACTGCTAGAAGAGAGCCTGAGAAACTAAAAAAAAAATCTGACAATGCAAAGCTTCTATATCACATATCCACTAGAATGGCAACTAGCCTCTCATCCAAGAAATACTATGAAACAGCAGTTCTGTTCTAGAAGCTTGCGTTAGCTACCACTGCTTTCTGTCTTTTTTGCCGAAAGGCTCACAGCTCCCATGCAGCTTTAGTTGATACATGAAGCAAATATCCACAACTCTTGAAAAACCTACCCATCACTGCTCTTATAAGCAGCAGGAACTATGCCTCCCCATCAGCATTCTTTTTCTACCATTCGGTTCCCCTGTTTGGTTCACAGGTAGGTATGCTTAAGTTTGGACCCAAAGCCCCACCTTAATATGAAACTTCCAGGAAAGAGGGTGCTGGAAAAGTCATGTGATCTGATAAATAGGCCACATGCTTCTTTCAAGTCCAATGCAGGTTTCACAAAGTAATTGAAGGGTAGTTTGGGGAGACAAAAAGAGATCCTCTGGCTGGGCTCCCAAACACACAACCGTCATACGACGCAAACTGGCAACTAACTACCATGTATGTGTACTATCAGCTAACTGAAAAGCCAGACACCTTTTCATCACAACAGAGTTTGAGTCCAGTGGCACCTTTAAGACCAACACAGTTTTATTCAAGGTATGAGCTTTTGTGTGCACTCACGATATCTGAGGAAGTGTGCATGCACATGAATAAAACTTTGTTGGTCTTAAAGGTGCCACTGGACTCAAACTTTGCTCTACTGCTTCAGACCAACATGACTACTACCTGGATCTACCCTTTCATCAGAGAAAAGACATAAAAAAGAAATAAATCAGCCAGTCTGTTCCCAGCAAGAAAAAAGAACCAATCACTCAAGTTCTACTACATTAAACCAGGATAGAAATTTCCTAGAGTTTCAAGAATGAATTACTTTTGGTTCCATGAGGCTTCCCCCTGTTCATACTGCATTTATACACATAAAGTGCTCATCTACTTACGCGATATGGGGTCAGGAAGACACTCCCCTTCTTGGTCCCTTTGAATGCATCTGGCATATGCTCCATATCATGGAACGTTATTTCAATGTGATTATAATTCATCAAAACACTATGTACAAAGAAAAGAGAGGCATGTTACTTGGATTTATATGTAGTACAGGCAGTGTACCCTCATCCAGCTCAGGTCAGAGAGCAGCCCATGGGCAATCCTATACATCTTTGCAATGATTAGATTTATGCTCCCTTCTGTTCATGTTACTAAATACATTTTATCAAAATGATACTTGATTGTTAGGTTAATCAAAGGTCTGTGAGCTGACTGAAGCTGGGGAGAGCCATCAGAAAGCTGACATGCCATATCATTGGCACAAGGGGGGAGAGAAGAGCTGTTGCAAAGCCAGGATTCTTGATGTAGCCAGGTCTTCTCAGCCTGAAGTGTTAAGGCCTTGATAAACTGAGCAGTTATTTGCAGAAGTACATATAATGACTGGAGGCCTGGACAAAATAAGAGCCTCCATACTCTGTTACAGCACTGTATGGGGATTCCACAGCACTGTAGGGGGATTCCACATGGTTTTTACTTTCAGGATTGAATACTTCAATATATATCAAAGCCTAAATTTGATTTTAAAATCGGATTAATAATAAGCAATATGAATTCACAGAGCACTCCAACCATTATTGGTTCTCTGCTCAACTACATAGCTGACTGGGGCAGCACACTCTGAACGTCTGATTTCTCCCTTCATCACAGGTAATTCAGAAGCAAGAAATGAGTTGGGGGGAGGAAAGGAATAGGTAACAGCCTTTTCCAGAGAAGCTGTCTGTGCTCTCTGGGAAACTGTCAAATTGGTATGTCCTTAGTGTGCAAACTGCTCCACAATTTTCATTTAACTCATAATTCCATAAGTGATCTTTGCATTCTTTTTCCTTTACTGATCTAAAAAAATGCACCCTTGTTCCTCTTCTTTGTTCTTGGCTACCACTACCTGTAACACAATGATAGTAAAGGTAAAGGTTCCCTTGCTCGAAAGCCAGTCGAATCCGACTCTAGGGTTGCAGTGCTCATCTCCGTTTCAAAGCCGAAGAGCCAGCGCTGTCTGAAGATGTTTCATGTGGCCGGCATGACTAAACACCAAGGCGCACGGAACACTGTTACCTTCCCACCGAAGTGGTACCTATTTATCTACTTGCAATTTCTTGCTTTCGAACTGCTAGGTTGGCAGGAGCTGGAACTGCAGCTCCTTAACACAGTGATACCCTGCAACAAACTACTTTTTAATGGCTAGTGGCTCAAGTGGTTAAGACGCTGAACTGCAGGCTGTGGAAGGTCAGTAGTTCAGCAGTTCGAGACCCGGGTGCCGCATGATGGAGTGAGCTCCCATCTCTAGCTCCAGCTCCTGCCAACCTAGCAGTTCGAAAGCAAGAAATTGCAAGTAGATAAATAGGTACCACTTCGGTGGGAAGGTAACAGTGTTCCGTGCGCCTTGGTGTTTAGTCATGCCGGCCACATGACCACGGAAACGTCTTTGGACAGCGCTGGCTCTTCGGCTTTGAAACGGAGATGAGCACCCCAACCCTAGAGTTGGATTCGACTGGCTTTCGAGCAAGGGAACCTTTACCTTTACCTTTTACTTGTACATATATACCATTCAGTTTTGTTTCTATTATGGGTTGGATCTCACAATCTTCTAAAGGAAGGTGCTGGTGAGTGCAGATCTTTCCCACTCTCTCCTCCCCACAGCAGTCCTTTCTGACCCTGGGAAAGTTTCTTAAACCAAATGGGTCAGGAGGCTACAGCGGGAGGGGACAAAATCACCCTTCCTGCCTCTTCTATCAGCACAGCTTCACAGATAGGGAGACTACACCCTTTTCTCCACCGGACCTTCCTGACCCTCAGGGCTATGAAATCCACATAAGTCCTACAACCCTGGAAATAATCTTTCCTGGGGTCAGAGAAGACTGCTGGGGGAAGGGGAATGCAGGAATAATTCTTGTAGCTGCAGATTTGCCGGTTCCAGCCCTGTGTCAACCATTTAAAGCACAAATTTTACAGGATCCTGCTCTTCCTTTGCTCTTTAATATTCCCATAATACAAAGCGATATTACTAAGAGACAAAGGCAATTGGTTCCCAATTGTGGAAGATTAGAGGCCAGCATTAATTACTTCCACTTCTAACCCCCAAAGAAGCTCAGAAAAGGCTGTGAAACATTATACAAGAAGTAGTCTACAATGTACAGGTATGACAAGGGTGTGAAATCCTATACAAGGAGTAACAAAGAAAGCTAGATGATGCCAGAATACAACATCAGCATAATAGGTCATTTGGATCCCCTTACAAGCTCAAATACTTTGGCCACCAAATGAGAAGGGAGCACTCCCTGGAGAAGACCCTGATGCTGGGAAAGACTGAAGGTCAAAGAAGACGGGGACGGCAAAGGATGAGATGGTTAGACAGTGTCATAGATGCAACGAACATGAAATTGAGCAAACTTCAGAGGATGGCGGAAGACAGGAAGGCCTGGTGTGATCTGGTCCATGGGGTCGCGAAGAGTCGGACTTGACTGTGCGACTGAACAACAACAACAAGCTAGATGTGAGCTTCCCAACCAATGTTCCCCTCTAAGCTGCGGAGTCTTGTGAGCAAAAATTCTACTTTGTGAGCTACCGGCATTAAAGTTGTGAGTGAGCGATTGGGCTACTGTTTGCTCTGGAGCCATTCGTCCTGAGCTAAGACAAAAATGTGTGAGTTGGAGGCTAAAAAACTGTGAGCTAGCTCACACTAACTCAGCTTAGAGGGAACACTGTTCCCAACTACTCGTGATTCATACCATTCCATGCACCCTGGTTCCTGCTTCTCAACCTTTTGGATTTACTACAAGGCTGCCAACTCTGGCCATGCCATTGCTGTGATCTGCTACCTGCATATTGCTCCCTCACTCTTTCTTAGTTTGCTTCTGCTTCGCCTGTTTCTGTGGGACCCTGTGTGCAGGGACCATGCGCCTTCTGCACCAAAGTTTGCCTTGATTCTGCACAGACTGCTGTGGTTGACAGTTAGGAATTTGCCAGGTGTCCCAGATCCTGGATATAAAGTGACTGTGAGAAACAACTCGATTTGGAGAAAAGAAAGGCAAACAAATGAATATATTAACTTCATTTCTCCCCCCCCCCCCCCCCACCCCCACAACACCTTTCTCCCCAATAGGGGCCTAAAGCAGCTTACAACATTCTCCTCTCCTCCATTTTATCCTCACCCTGTAAGGTAAACCGAGAGTAGTCCAAGACCACCTGGCAAGTTTCCACGGTAGAGTGGGGATTTGAGCCTGGGGCTCTCAGATCCTAGTGCAACACTATAAACCAAAACACCGGCTCTCGGCAGCAACCAAGAAGGGAGCTCATGTGTTCAGCGGCAGCATCCCCTCAACTAGTAGTTGCTGAATATTCAAAACAATCCACCGAGAAGGACTATCTCCATCACACCTTACCGGCATACTTCCCAGAAGTAGCTAGTTGGTGTTGACGGAGGCAGCGCTAGACTAGATGGATCCTTAGGCTAATCCAGTGAAACAATTCCAGGACACCACAAACACAGACAGGGGTGCTGTTTGGGTTCAGTCTCACCCCGCCCCCTTTGGAGGGGGGCGTCTCATGGTGGGAGGATTCGCTGGGAATAACAGTCCGAGGGAGGAAAGCACAGATGTCGCCATACGAACAGCGCCGCGTCCGACAGGAGACAAGCGCAGATCACTCTCAAACCCGCTCCTTACCTCTCACTGTTATTGACGATAACCCCACCTTCCTCCGAATTATTCCTGTTTAACGCCATCTCCGCGAAGGCACTCCGGACCCTTCCCCCGCTACGGCCAAACGCAGGGGATTGATGGTGCGAGGCTACGCTACGCAGCCGCAGCGATGAATTTCCGGCGTAATTAAGCTCCAGGCAACGCAGAGACCGGTGATATACGAAAGGGAAGGGGATATGTATGATGGGAAATGTAGTTTATTGCCTTAAAGTAAGGCCGCCGTAGGAGCTGGTGCCTCAAGTGGTTAAGACGCTGAACTGCAGGCTGTGGAAGGTCAGTAGGTCAGCAGTTGGAGACCCGAGTTGCCGCATGACGTCTCTCGTTCCAGCTCCTGCCAACCTAGCAGTCCGAAAGCAAGAAATTCCAAGTAGATAAATAGGTACCACTTCGGTGGGAAGGTAACAGCGTTCCGTGCACCTTGGTGTTTAGTCATGCCGGCCACATGACCACGGAAATGTCTTCGGACAGTGCTGGCTCTTCGGCTTTGAAACGGAGATGAGCACCGCAACCCTCGAGTCGGATTGGACTGGCTTTCAACCAAGTGAACCTTTACCTTTAGGTACTAAGGCTGCCCTAGGCAGCACTTTCAATCAATCCTAATCATAATGTATTGTATCTTGGCGCAGAGTGGTGCGGGGGAGGAATAGGGAATGGTAAAACTGTAATCCTAAAACACATGAGAGTAAACCCCATTCACTAGAGCTGCTTACCAGGTCCCTCCTGGCCATTGGCGGTGGATGGGTAGGATTGCCAGATCCAGGTTGGGAAACAACTGGGGATTCCGGAGTGGAGCCTGGGGAGGACAGGGACCTTGGTGGGCTACAGTGCCATAGAGTCCACCCTCCAAAGCATCAATTTTCTCCTGGGAAATTGATCTTTGTAGTCTGGGGATGAGCTGTAATTCCAGGATATCCCCAGGCTCCACTTGGAGACTGGCATCCCTAAGCACTAGAACAAAGTTTAAGTCCAGCAGTGCCTTTTAAGACCAACAGCTTTAATTCTTGGCAGGCTTCGGTTCCTGCTGGAGCGCACCGGAGCTCAGGGGGAGGGCACATAAGCCCCGCCCCCTGCTCCCACCAGCCATCAGTAGGGACACGGGCGGGGGGCGAAATGTTCCCCCGCCTTCCCTGAGCTCCAGGGTGGTGGCCTTGGACTGGTAGGGGCAAATTCCACCTCTCCCACGAGAGGTCATTCTGGCTCTCCCAGCTCTCCTTGGGGCTCCTTAAAAAGTTATGGACGCCACTGTTCTCAGCGGCAGCTGCAACGCCCGCGCAGGGGGAGGGGCAGGGCGAAACGTTCCCTTGCCTCCCTGAGCCCCAGGGTGGTGGCCTTGGACTCATAGGGGCAAATTCCACCTCTGTCGTGCCGCTCGGACATCACACGGGAGAGGTCATTCTGGCTCCCCCAGCTCTCAGGAGGGGCTCTTTAAAAAGTTATGGCCGCCGTCGCAGTGGCAGCTGCGACACCCGCAGGGGGGAGGGGTGGGGCGAAACGTTCCCTTGCCTCCCTGAACCCCGGGGTGGTGGCCTTGGACTTGTAGGGGCAAATTCCACCTCTCGCATGTTGTCATTCTGGCTCTCCCAGCTCTCGATAGGAGCTCTTTAAAAAGTTATGGCCTCCCTGAGCCCCAGGGTGGTGGCCTTGGACTTGTAGGGGCAAATTCCACCTCTCGCGATCACACGCGAGAGGTCATTCTGGCTCTCCCAGCTCTCGATAGGAGCTCTTTAAAAAGTTATGGCAAATTCCACCTCTCGCGTGTGATGTCACCCAGTGGTCCCAAGTGCCCATGCCCCCATGGCAGTGACCTCGCTGACTCTTCTGGATGCCAGAGGCTACCATGGTTCCAGCAGCTGGACCACAGCCATCCATCTGCAGACCTGACCACGCCCTGTTCTAGGCCAGTTGTATCCAGGGGTGCTACTGTGCTCAACCTGGTCTGGCAAGCAGGCCACCTTGTCCATTCTGATGACTCTCGGATGGCGGCATGTGCTGGGGGAGCCAGTCTCCGTGCGGCGTGGAAGCTCATACAGGGCTGAAGACACTCCCAAGCCTCATGATGGAGTTCAGGTGTCATGGACAGGCCACTCGTGGGTCTGTCATTCCCTGGCTGGGATGAGGGGGAGCAGCCCCATAGCCAGGAGTATTTTGGGGGGAGGGGGGCGCAGGGTGGGCGCTAATTAAATTAGGGTAGGCATGATATGGAAGAGTGGAGAGAAAGCAGGTGAAGGGAAAGGAGAATCCCAAATGCCAAACACTGCTGGGGGTGGGGGAGGTGAGAGGGAAGAGGCAGAGAAACACTCCCTTTCTCCCAAGCCTCTGCCACAGCTCTCATGTTCTCTTCCATGACTCTTCCTGCTGCGGCTGCGCAGGCAGGGAGGGAGCTGCTTGGCCACAGCTGGAAGCAGTCTTGCTGGGCTGTCCTCCTCTCTCTCCCTGAGGGCTGCAGAGCCAAGGAGAATGGCCCACCAGCTGCAGGCTTGCAGCATGCTTGGAAGCAAGGCTGGTTTGTCTTCTGTGGGGCTTACAGCCAGGAAAGTGTGCGTTGGAGACGGAAGGGGGGGGGGGCGAACAGAGGAGAGAGAGAGAGCGTGTTGGAGACTAACCACCGCAGCTCAGCTCCAGTCCTACTGCTGCCACTACGGCCTCTTCTGCTTGTCGACCCCAGCATCTCACTGTAGCTCTTGCTGGCAAGGTGAGTGGGGGACTGGGAGGGGGGGGCTCATCCATGGGGGCATCATCCCCAAGGCCCCCCCCCCCGGGGCTACAGCCCTGAGAGGAGAAGAGCCCCCCCCCCCAGCTGCCATCGCCCCATTGGGATGCCTTTGCCACCCAATGTGTGCTTGCACACACTCCCACCACTGCAGGTAGTCCCTGAAGTCCTGCCTCACAGAAGCCCCTGGTGACAGCACGGGGTCCCGTTCTTTGGCCCAAGGACCCTCCACATTGGCCCCACCAAGGGGAGGTGCTGATGCATGGCACTGCACAGACTGTGAACAGCTTCACCACTGCCAGAGGCTGCATAGCTCTGCTGCCCCCTGTATGGGGGTGATGACCATGCGTGTTTGTCGGTGGGCTCGCTTGTAGGCTGTGTGGTCCGGCAAATCATCTTTGGGATACCATGTCAGCAAATACAGCAGCAAGGGATACTCTCGGTCACTTGAGGGTAATGGCACATGAGGCATCAGGGGTGGCAGAGTAACTAGAATTCACCTGCCAACCCCTCTAGAGTGTATAATATATGGATGCAAACATTTAAACTTATGACCAGATGGTACTATTCCCCAAGGAAATTGTAGATCATATATTCTCAACTGTTTCAACAGTGTTGGAAAACCTGTACTTCCATTGGCGCCTTCTATCACTGTTGGTGGGAATGCCCGACAATTCAACATTTTTGGCAAGCTGTCCTGAATCAAATTACTGCAACCATGTCACAATCAATACCTCTAAAACCTGAACTCCTACTTTTAAATCTTTGGGACCCAGTGGATCAAGTTGACACCCATGAAAATCTTATCTCCCTCCTCCTTGCTGTGGCAAGGCTTACAATAGCTTCCATCTGGAAATCTTCTTCTCCACCAACCTTGATAATGTGGTGTGATAAGATACAGGACCAATTCATTATGTACAAGATTTCTACCATAGTTGATCACTCTCATACAAGCTCTAGAAAAATCTATGACAATTTCATCACCACCTGGTTTCCAATCTTAACTTATGTGTCAGAGAGAGATCTTCTTCACTCTAACTCGAATCACCATTCCTGGATTTACCTCTGATATACTTATCAAATGATCTCTCCATTCCCCTTGTTGATCAGAGCTTTCACTATTCACACTATTATGCTTGGCGGTTCCCCACTCTTGGAGGCATAATTCATTAATTACTTCATTACATCCATATTTACTTTTTTTAATCTGTTTGATTTGCCTATTTTTTATTTGATACGTTGGTATTTTGCCTTGCTTTATCTTTGCCTTTACATCTCTACCATCATCCACATATACATTTAACTGTTTCCCCCCACCTTATTGCTTACTGATTCACCAGCTTTGTATACATGTATGTATGTATGTATATGTATGTATATGTATGTATATGTATATATGACCATGGTTGTATCCTGACATTATTAATAAATAAACCCTGATGCTGGGAAAGATTGAAGGTCAAAGAAGACGGGGACGGCAAAGGATGAGATGGTTGGACAGTGTCATAGATGCAACGAGCATGAAGTTGAGCAGGCTTTGGAGGGCGGCGGAGGACCGGAGGGCCTGGCAGGAGCTGGTCCATGGGGTCGCGAAGAGTCGGACTCGACTGTGCGACTGAACAACAACAACAAATGAAAAGTACGCAAACGGGGAGTGTTTTCAGCAAAGCGTACTTTATTCTATCCGGAACAAGACGACTTTGGCCGGCTCGCAGGCCGGCTTATATCCCCCGAGAAACCGCCACCCAAAACACACCCCTACTTCCCTATAGGTTATTTACAGTGGCCGACAGTCCCATAGGCTCTCGGCCGGGAACCGAGCCCCGTGATTGGAGTGGGCTAGGATCCGCATAGTCCATTGTCTCTTGGAGCAAAGCTCTGCGTTTGTCTCTGGACTTGTCTGGACTGGATACATTACTGTATATATTAAAAGGGGGGGGTGATGTTCCCTGCTGTATGCCTACCCAGCTATGCCAACCATACTAACCTAGGAGCCATCCTTTGCTCTCCGGCCAGGCAACCAAGAGGCAATAGAGGCCAGATGCTGCAAAGATCTGGGTGTTATGGATGCTGCCTGGGACCTTGGCCATGAGGTCTGTGAAGATGCCCGGGTGGTCACAGGCCTGAACATTCAGGCTGTAAAAGTGGTGGTGACTACAGTAGATTTACAACCCTTATCAGGGGGTGATGAGGGCAATGTATGTGCAGTCTGTGGCCCCCACCACATTGGGAAAGCCTCTGAATGATGTGAACCCTGCCCTGATGGGCACAAGGTTGCCCTCAGTGGGGAAGCACACCTGCTCCTGGAGGTGTGACAGCATGGCACCCAGAAAGCAGTGTAGGCAGTGGCTAGCCAAGGAGTGCGACACCTTGAGCACCTCTGAGACAACCCCCTG